TTTATCTTGAAAAAACTCATTTTTTAAAATGAGTTGCTTATTTAATAAATAGGTTATATGAGTTGGGTTCGACCTACTAACTTGTGAACTCACAAACTCATATACTTAAACGAGTTATATGGGTTGGGTTGGATTGAGGTTTCCAACCCGTGACCTGCCAACCCACCAACCCATATATTTTATGGGTTCAGTTGAGTTTATGTTTTTTGACCTACCAACCTGTCAAACCTGTGACCCGCCAATTTGAACCCAACTCGATTGTTAGGCCTACATATAATAAGTATTCTTAGATGAAAAAGCAAAAGCTTAGCAATTTTAAAACAAAAAATTGGTGTTGATGTTGTCTATATCGTCTTAATCACAATTACAAGAATCAATATTAACACACACATACACATACATACATACATACATACATACATACATATATACATACATATATATATATATATATATATATATATATATATATATATGATTATAATTTTTAAACAACGTTCATATCTTCAAAACATTTTGCATGATTAGTTTAAATTAACAATTTTACAATTATGTTATATCAAATATCCACACATACATATATATACATATATAGTAATTTTAACTAATCATTATAAACTTACAGATAAAACATGTATTTTTTAAATTAATAATTGTTTGGAAAATATTGATTAGTTATTAGGATTAGTTATATATTTATATGTATTTTTTATATGTCCATCACGTTTTATGTGAATCATAATCTAGTTCAAGTTAAAAAACAACCCCAAAACACCCCTTGAATTCTTAAAACATTTTTTGCAAAATGCAGATAAAAATCCTCCTGTTTTAAGGCCATCTGGTATGGCGTGATATTTGACGCGTAAAGGGTGATGTGGAGGGGGTATTTACGCGTGAACACCCCCCCCCTCTGTGATCAGTGATGCGGATTGATGGGCTTCACAGGTGGTTACGCCGAATGTGATTGGCCAAAAAGTTTTTTGACCATTTGGTTAATTAAAAAAAACATTTTCAATTTAATTCTTCTAGTATATATACACAAACACATAAACACAAAAACACATATCTATCTACTTTATCATTTTCTCTAAAAAATATGGAGCAATATCAAAATACATCTACCACTCCAAACACCCCAACAACCCCAAACACTCCAAATGATCAATATCAAGGTTACATTCAAATGCTAACATCCCCAATCCATCATCAACCTCTATTTACCAACATTCCATTTCAACCAAACTACTTCCAACAACAAATACCATAATCTCAATTCCAAGGTTTTCAACAATTTCAAACCCAACAATTCCAAACAAAACTATCTCAATAATTCAAAACACAACCATCTCAACCATCTCAAGTCCCAATTTCTCAATCCCCGCCTATAAACCTGGACAATGACGAGGACGATCCGAAGAAACACAACCATCTAGGCGAAGGAAATCAAAAGGAAAAGCTATAAATAAAAGAGGAACGGCTTGGATCGAAGAGGAGGAGGAAGCTTTAGCTAAAGCTTGGATTTCGATACCGTGCGACTCGAGGATGGACAACGTGCAAACGAGAAACAATTTTTGGCTTCCTGTTTTAGATCACTTTCACTTGCTCTTGGGAAGGTAAATGGACTTAACGTACGACGCGATCAATGGAAAATGACGTGAACTACGAGCGGCGTGCACCAAATTTAACGACATATTTGATAATCTGAAAAATATGCATAAAAGTGGTAGTAATGATTTCAATATTTTATCAACCGCTTGTCAACAATTCAAAGTTACCACTGACGCTAAAGCGTTCGGCCACCAAAAAGCGTGAGACATTTGTCATAAGGGTCCAAAATGGGTCCTTAACCCGGAGACTTCACATTCGGAATCGATCACCCGCTCCAACAAAAGGCCAAGAACTTCCGAGTCGGATGTGGGTTTTAGTGTCGACCTCAATGACAACTTCGATGGGACCTAAGGGGAAGTCCAACTTCGTCGACCACCGAGAAGGGATAAAGGGAAAAAAGCGGCGTCTTCAAGCAGAAAAACGATTAACGAAGACGTGCTTGCGGACAGAATTGACAAAACTCTAAGTTTTTTACAAAAAAATATGAGTCAACGGAGGAAGCTCGATGTCGGAAACAAACACTCACCGATCTTCAAATTTTAAATACGAAACCACAACTGGATATTGACCAGGAAAATTTAGCCACGTTTTTTAAAATACAACAAGAAATTCGAGAAAAGTATGAAACTTAGGTTTTTTACGTTTTTAATATTTATGTTTAATTTCTATGATTTTTAGTTATTTAAGTTTTAATTTTTTTTGGTAATTCGGAATCTATATTTGATATTTTATGTAATGTGAAATATATAATTATGTTATTAATTTAGTTAAAAAAAAAAAAATCTAAATAGTGATAATTATTTCCAAAGCTAGCGTGGTGAACATATACGGGGTGATGTCCGTTTTCTAGTAAATACATTGACGCCATGCCGATCGCCTAACAATTGCACAATTTAAAATTAAAATAAAATAATAAGAAAACAATTTAGGTATTCTGAATCTAAAAAAGTCAAAATCGAATTTACCCGATCAAACACCGCCAAGACGTTGGCCGTGTTGTTAGCGAATCCTCCGGCGCAGTTAAGCGAGGGTGTTTCTTTCCGTCGAGCACCGACCGGCGACCGGGAAAACATCATTTCTTTGTATATCTACACAATATATATGGCGGCCTTGCTTCGCAGGGGACTCTCTTCGTCGACAGTTTCTCGTACTCTTCTCTGCAATGGTACCTTTTAAAATACTTTCCTAGTTTCCTTTCCTTGTACGTTTATCATTCCATTCCTTCAAAAATTCAAAATTGCTACGAGCTTCGAAGTTTTCTTGGAAAAACTTGCAATCTATGCTAGAAGAAACAACAAATCACTACAATCCGGAGACTATTGCTGGCGTTTAGTAACGTAATTCATATAATTAGACTAGGTTTTACGCGATTCTTTTCCTAACAGAAGAGAGAAAGTGCATATGTAATATGTTCTTCATATGTAAATGAACTGTGATGTATTTGTGGCTCCAATAGATTTGCCCATCCGTTTTTATCCCCAAATTCATCTATTTGGGATCTAACATTTTGAGCTTCACTTCATTTAGGTGTTCCCTCAAGGCAATTTAGCAGTTCCACTGGTGCAGTGAAGTTCGATTTCACTGACCTCACGTAAGAACACATCATATGATCATATTCACGATTATGCTTCCAAGTTGTTCAACACAAAATAGATGTTTAATGAGTGTTCTCTTATTTCACCTTTCAAACATAACCCAAAATGTCTTGTTACTATCTTTTTATGTGGGAATTCATACAACTTATTCCATACATTATAGTCGTCCTCACACATGGTACCCAATTGCTCGAAGAAAGAAGCGCAATGTAATTCTTCACGTGGGTCCTACAAACAGTGGGAAGACATATCATGCATTAAAGAAGTTGGAGCTCAGTTCTTCTGGTATCAATTTTGTTTCTCCCTTTGTAAAGATTCTCACACAAGAATCCTGCTAAAAGTCTGTGTATCTTATATTTGAATCAGGTATCTATTGTGGCCCTTTAAGATTATTGGCATGGGAGGTAGCAAAACGATTGAACAAAGCAAAAGTTCCCTGCGATTTAATTACTGGACAAGAAAAAGAAGTTATTGAAGACGCAAAACACAAAGCTGTCACAGTAGAAATGGCTGATGTCACATCTGATTACGACTGTGCTGTTATTGATGAAATTCAGGTTTGTTATCGAGTATTTATTTATTTTATTCCATAACGAAGTAATGAACATTGTCTTTTTAATTATATGCAGATGCTAGGATGCAGGACACGTGGGTTTTCATTTACACGTGCTCTTTTAGGAATTCCAGCTAATGAGCTTCATTTATGTGGAGATTCTGCTGCTGTTCCACTAATTCAAGAAATTTTAAGTGTGACTGGTGACAATGTCCAGGTATTGATTATTGAATTTGAAATAATGTTTGTGATGATGTCATAAATCATAATAAGTTGTCACACTATTTTTCTTTTCTGTTTAGGTACAATATTACGAGAGGCTATCACCGTTAGTGCCTTTAAAAACCCCCCTTGGATCTTTTTCAAATATTAGAACCGGTGATTGCATTGTCACTTTCTCACGTCATAAAATATATAAACTCAAGGTGCGTATGTATGTATATATATATATATATATATATATATATATATATATATATATATATAGTTTCTAGAATGTATTATAAATGTTTATGTTGTGTTGTTAGAGAAAAATTGAAGATGATGGGAAACATTTGTGTTCTGTAGTATATGGTTCGTTGCCTCCTGAGACTCGAACAAGGCAGGTATTTACTTATTTCTCTTGTTTTTTTTTTTAGTTATAATTATAATTATATGATTGGATTAAAATTTTTTGAACTGATGTTTATTTTTTGAAAACTTTAGGCAACAATGTTTAATGATGAAAGTAGTGAGTTTGATGTTCTTGTAGCAAGTGATGCAATTGGAATGGGACTTAATCTAAACATTTCTAGAATTATATTTTCGGAAATGGAAAAGTTTGATGGGTTTGAAATGCGACCACTTTCTGTTCCAGAAATCAAACAAATTGCTGGTAATTTTTATATCCGACATTATAATACATTTTTATATGTCTATTTATAATTTATAAATCAATATATATATATATATATATATATATATATATATATATATATATATATATATATATATATATATATATATATATTGTAGGTAGAGCTGGTAGGTATGGATCTAAATTTCCTGTTGGGGAAGTGACTTGTTTGGATCCAAAAGATTTACCCTTGATTCATTCATCGATAAACTGCCCATCTCCAATTTTAGAGGTATATTATATTAATACAATATATGAATATATTCATTTCTTATCATGATTAAAAAAAAACATTTTATATGGTTATTAAAGAAAAATTATGTTTTTGGTTCAGAGTGCTGGATTATTTCCTACTTTTGACCTTTTATACATGTACTCTCGGTCACATCTAAATATTGGTTTGTGCCAAATACTGGTTAGTTATTATTACCTACTTTCATTTGGTTATGTGTGAAGTTACACTTGGCACCCTGGAGCCTGGACTATTTACCCAACAAGCCCTTTAATGATATTCTTTGGTGTCAAAGTTCTCTTTATTTATCTTTGATTTTTCTTTCTTCAGGAACAATTTGTGGAGAATGCGAAATTATCAGCGAACTATTTTATTGCTAATTGTGAAGAAATGTTGGTATGCTTTGTGGTGAACTTTTAGTAATTTCCCAATTTTGTTAATTTTGGATTTACTTTTTCTAATTATCGAATTATTTTGCTATATGTTTTTTTTTTACAATAGAAAGTTGCTGCAGTACTTGATGAGCTGCCTATTTCCTTGCATGATAAGTACCTTTTTTGTCTTAGGTACATCCTTTTGCCTTTAAATATTTTTTTTTTGTTTTTTTTTTTCAACTTATTGAAAATTGTTTTTTTTTTTTTTTTTTTTTTTTCTTTCTATAGTCCTGCTGATACGAGTGATGAAATCGTATCTCAGGGTCTCACACAGGTAATTCTCTATTATAATATTTAGTTTCTTTCAAATATATATTTTTTTAGATGATGATAAGAAAATTATTTTTATAAATTAGTTTGCCCATACGTATGCAAAGAAACGCATTGTTCGACTTCGAGAAATATTTACTCCAGGCACGCTTAAGGTCCCAAAGACTCAAGCTGAACTCAAGGAACTTGAATCCATTCACAAGGTTAAGCCTCTTGTCTTTTTTTTCTTTCTTAATATTTATAAAAAATAATAAAAAACAATTTATTATTATAATGATTTTCTAACACTATACTTTGTCTTATCTCTCAAGGTCTTGGAACTTTACGTGTGGTTAAGCTTCCGGCTTGAAGATTCCTTCCCAGATCGAGATCTCGCATCATCACAAAAATCAATTTGTGGCATGTAAGTAATCTTAGGCCCTTTTTTTAAAAAAATATTTTTTAATTTACGCAAGTTATTAAACCCTAATTTAACTTTGCGAATCTAATATTTCAGGTTGATTGAGGAGTTTTTGGAAAGACTAGGGGTTCAGAAGCCGATGCCAAAAAAGTTAAAACAATTTCGATAGCTTCAAAATATGTAACTTTTGTTTCATTCGATTACATCAAAGAGAAGAACATTGAATAGGTATTGAACACGACCACTTTCAGGTATTCAAAGCTTAACAAACAAGGATAAGGCTAATCTCCATTGATGTGGATCGAAACAAAAAATTGTACTAATTCAATGTGGTTATAGTTTATCTCACATGTGTTACATTTTACATATCTAGAAAAATAAACAAGAAAATTCATTTGTTAATATCTTTATGCATCCATTGCTTAGTAGAAACACTGTAAGTTGTATAACACATGTTTTGCTTCTTCTCTTTATTGATATTATTTACACCCATCGGTTTATTCGACTTTTTTGTTATGCTTTATTGAATTTTATTTTAGTGTTGTGGATCATGTAATACCTAGTTCTAGATTAGTTTTACTTAGAGTAATTCCATTGATTGATTATCTTTAAGTGTTTAATTTGTTTAAGTCTTTATCTCATTGTAGTGACTAGTTCAAATGTACTAGTATCATTCTTGTACAACGGTTTACGTAAGTTTGGAGTATGTACTTGATGTTTTGCATGATGATCAATTTGACTTTGAAGATGTGATGACGTGTCATCATGATTCATGCATGAAATCCACGAACGAGGAGATGAAATCTCTAGAAAACATAAGTCGTTTTTTTGAAACATCCATGATGTGGGCAAATTTTAAATGGTCTTTAAAATTCAAACTTGAAATACTTTTATAAAATAAAATCGTTTTAAAATCAAAATTTACTGATAAAGGTCCCTAATGGCAAAGTTGTAATACTTATGAAATTGTATTTGGTGTTCATAATTTTTCAAACTAAGTACATATCAAAATACAAGTACTAGGATTAGAAAGCCTGAAGAGTATATTTGGAGCTAACCCAAACAACTTTCAAAATTACCAAAATGATCCTTAGGATCAAAACTTTTCAAACCATAGCAAATCACAATATGACATACACACGAGAACCTTCTAGAATGCTACTTACAACCCTTTTATAGGGTATTCTATTAAGTTTGGGATCCCAAGTCCAAATGTCCACACAAGTCAACGTATCCTTTGTGAATGCACAAACAAAATGCTCAAAATAATTATAGCAGGTACATTTCTCATAAAAAGTATAACATGTCAAATAAATCAATAAAAAACATTAAAATAGTTTTAGGGACATTATAAACTCACCTTAGCTTGTAGATGATGTACTACTTAGCTTCCAATGATGTTTTTGTAACTTCTTTACACATAATGACCAAATATTATACTTAATTACTCCATAAATATATTTACATGGCCTAACTAAAATGTCTAAGTTAAAACACCTTATTTAATGTCCGCGTTTCTCGCAAGACATATTTTAGAAAATATGTAATTACGTTAGTCGACGATGTAAATTTTCTTGTGAATTAATGAATAAAAAAATTATTCAAAAATAATGTGTTTATATAAGTGTGATTTATATATCATGTGTGTGGAAATCGATCACATATTACGTGTATATGATATTTGTATAAAAATTTATTTTAAAACTTAATAAATATTATTTATGATAAATAAACGTCTACAAGAGTCGTAGAGGTCGTGATCACAAGCCCGTGCATATAAATAACGCCTAAATCTGATTTTGAATGAGGTAGTTATGATTTTTCTAAGTTTAGAGTTTAACCCGACCTAAAAATGTATGTCATAAAAAGTGAAACATAGATCGGTTGTTTGTTAGCAAAAACAATCTAAACAAAAGTTGATGTCCTTGTAAATACAAAATCATCGATATAGAGAACGTCAAGAAGAGAGTTTATATGGAGTTATGAAATTTGCATAGTTTTTTACATTGTAATCTTCATAAACTGTAAAATTAAAAATAGAATGAGAATTAACCGACAAAGTCTGAATGAAAGTTGTAGTACTCATCGATATAAAACTAGTGACATAAATAACATCGAAAAGAAGATTATAGGAGAGAGATATGTTTTTTTTTGAAAATTGTGAGAAATACCCGCGCCTGCCAAGTGTTAGCACCATGTTCAAGCCTTGGGGCATATGTTGGGACACAACGCGCCCCTTTCGAAAACAACCTATAAATAACAACTTAAACACTCTTCATTCTCCACACCTATAACTTTGGGTTTCTCTCTCTAGAAGCCCTTTCTCTCTCTAAAGTTCTTACTTTTTGGAGTTTCTAAGTGTTTGCAATGAGGTGCTGCTGTGACAGAAAGCCCAACATAAAGAAGTGTTCGGTATTGAAGTTCTGTCCGCGACTTTCCGATTTTTGTCAGAAAACACTGTAAGTCAAGTTGCACTTACTACGCTTTAAGTGTAACTTATATTTATCTTCATAGTAGTTATTATGTACTTATAAATAAGATTTATCAGTAATACCAATCGTTATACTGATCGATCTACCTATGAGAGGGATGTCTATGCTAGAACTGTGAAGTGTTTAAAGTGAAATTTCCAAACAATGTACTCTCGATATCAAACGGATCCTACCTCCGATACGATCTTACCTGGTTGTTAAAAGATTTAGTATGTTCTAGAATCATATTAAAGTGATATTATTAATTAACATATGATACTAATGGGTTACACTAACAACAACTTGATACTTTTGATTACTTATTAGAAATTGATTTTTAAAAATATTCACTAAACTCTTATAATTAACTGGAATTTATTTATTTCATGAAAATATTAATTTTCAATGGGAAGTAACATAATATATCATATGATATAATTTATTAAGTCATGTACGCTATTTTGGACTATGAAGACTTTTTTCTTTTAGCTAAAAACCAAAATTTATATTTTATAAAAGAAATTTACAAAACTTATAAACTTTTGTCTTCTTTTATATCTTTATAAGAATGAATAAAAGAAGCATGACCTTTTGATTATTTAAATCAAAAGAAAGCATGACTTAAAGTTATAGGGGACATTGGGGACATGGTATGTCTTAAAGTACTAAGACCTTATGGGAATTACCTTTGCTTTAAGACCATAACATGAAGGATTTCATTTTTGGTGCATTTTTCATGCCAAAACCATAACTTTTTTTCTCCATCCTTCTCTCTAGTTTTGGTTCATTACTTGGAAGAATACTTGTACTTTTACTCTCTTGAAATTCATACTTCGGTTATGAACTTTAAGCTTAAGAGTATAAGAGTTGAAGACTAGCATCATCATCAAGTTGGATAATTGTTGGTGTCTCAAATGTTTCTAAATTCTTCAACAACTTCCTAAACTCCCCTTGAAGATTCAAAGACTACAAAGGTTGTTATGCTCTTCTTCTTATTCTTTGGTTGTTTTTTTTAATCTTTCTACAACTTGCAAGATGATCATTGGTGGCTATGATTTGTTATGTTATTTTCAAAAAAGATATGTCTCCTGTTTGCCATTTTACCAGTTTATGAAACTAATTTTTGAAATAAAACCCAATAATTGGTATCAGAGCCACCTTTCAAGTTTGGTTAGATTTTATGATTTTTTGGAAATCTTAGTTTTTGGAGAATATGAATAACTTGTTTTTGTATAAAAATAAGTTCATACATATTATCTTTGACAAATTCTTAATTGTTATTTTATGTGACAAAATATACATGCATTTTTTGTTACCTAAAGTTTTCTTAAAAAAACAAATGTTGTTTTATTATATGTGTTTTCGAAGTGTATAAACAAGCCGGGGACCTTTGTATTGTTGTTTTTGGTTAATTTATTAAAATGGTTTGTAATATTCTTTTATTCATAAAGTATGTGTAGTGTGTTAAAAATAATGTTTGAATCAACTGATTATATGAAAGTAATAAAGAGCACGCAAATCTAAAGATGATCTATTTAGCTCGAAATTATCTGGAAATAGTACAAAGGTTTTTGAGTACAAATGAATTAAGAAGTGTTCAAAAATCATACTCTAGACTTAATTACTTACCCTATTTATAGGGTATATCAGACATACAAAAAAATATAAGGACTCGACATCACATATTGTAACACTCTAAAAATTCAAGCCAATTTAAACTTTTCAAAAACAACCCATTTTAATCATGTTATTACAAAAAGGTTTTCAATACATTTATTATCAGAGTATTCCCAGGTCCATATCATAAAACATAAACACGAGGAGCGGTACGATCACGCCTTTGCCTTGCCACGGTCTCCTGAAGAACCTGAAAAACATTAAACCACAACTGTAAGCCCGAAAGCTTAGTGAGATACCCCCAAAATACCAACCACATATACCATACACATAACATGCTATATCATATCGAATCACAGAATAGCCATGCATATCGGGTCTGCTGTGTGACTGGTCCGCCGCACCGGCCAACAGTCCACCTGGTCCACCCTCCGCGTCTAGCCATATACATCGAGTCTGCAGGGTTGTTGGTCTGCCCGTACCGGGCCTTCAATCCACCTGGTCCACTCTCTGAGTCTACAGTATGACTGGTCCGCCCGCACCGAGCCTTCAGTCGGCCTGGTCCACTCTCCGAGCCTCGGCACGTCTGGTCCGCCCTCGTGGTGCCTACAGCCTATCCGGACCGCTCGCTGGGCCTTCAGAATAACCGGTCCGCCTTGAGTATGTTGGCCTACAGCACAAAGCAGGTCCCGCCTCAACCCAACCTCAGTCAACAACCATGTGCACATAAACATACAATCATATAACAATTCATATTCAATCAAACCGATCTAGCAGACCACGTAACACAACATACTCTAAGCAGGATACCGACCTAACCGGTCACTAGCATAGCATCATCCTATATACCAGGATACCGACCTTAACCAGGTCTCTAACGAATACCATCCTAACTACCAGGATGCAAACATAGTAAAACAACAACATAACAACAATACCCGGATTACAATCCGATAAAGGGCCGACCTTGGTGCCTTAGACCCTGTTGATATAGTGAGGATAAATCTCCTCGCAACAGCTGACTGGAAAGATAAGACCGAGATGCTCCGACCACTGATACGATCTCCACCACTGGCTAACACCAACCCTGAACTCAAAACAAAAGCCAACAATTACCAAAATGCCCCTGGAAGTCAACTGGTCAACTCTTGGTCAAAGTCAAAGTCAAAGTCAAAGTCAAAGTCAACCTTC